GATTCAGACCTTTTAATTGGTCCCCCAATTCAATTTGGATTTGGAGATTCAGCCACTAAATCGGGCCAAATCTCCTCCAAATCGAATCAGCACCCAAAGCATTGCATAGTACACATGCATTCCTTCTCTGTTCTCTAGTCAGGTAATAGATGTTATTACACAGATCAGACATGAGTTTCTAAAAAACTTTGTGTATACACTGTCTACACAAATATATTTGTGCAGACAAGCCTGTGCCCTGTGCTCCGGGGACCACCACCCCCCGTGTGCAAGCAGCAGCGGGAGGCACCCCCCTGAGAAGCTACGCCTCCACCCCACATCCCTGCCCCCCCTGGACAGTGCCTGCCCATGCCACCTCCCTCCCCCACTGTGGAGGCATTGATCTCCCCCACCACACCCCTTTTCTCCCCACTTCACTTCTACCACAACAGACTTACCACCTGGAGACAGCTGTATCAAATATCGGATCTGTATCAGCCAATATGCTTCCTTAAATATCAGCTATCGGTATTGGCCCCCAAAAATCTCTACCTGTACACCCCTAATAGCTACCCTTTCCCTAAGTTATGCCATCAGACAAAAAAGTAATCAAGATCTTACCTTTTTACTAACAAGTTACCTTTTCCCCCCTCCTTTAATAGATGATATTACTTCTGTGAGGTGGGAAACAGCACAGCATCTATTTTACCTTAGTATTTCAAATAGCTTGGTAATTTACTACATGGTAATTTGATTTAAGCCCAGAGTTTTATAAACAATTCTTTGCTCAAATTGGACTGCTTCTTTTCCAGACCGGGGAAGGACAATTATAGCCTGAATGCTTGTCTCCTCTCTTCCCCAACTATACAAGTTGATGCACTAAGTGGTATCACTTCTCAGCATAAATCTTACTTCTCAGATTTTCAAATGTGTTAAAAGTACTAGTGTCAAAGATACAGCCTGCAAAGGTACATCATACAGCCCGAAGTGCTGGCCCTGGGTCTCCAGTTGATCCACATGCCACACACAGTGGGCACCAGCCCACCCCCCAACGCAGTGCCCACAGGCACCATGGCCTCCCCTGAGGTGTATTCAGGTGCCTGCGTGCATTTTCAGAATCAGTAAAAATCATTATTCCAACCAGAAATGTTGTTTTATTGGTGCCCACTGCTTTTTCTTTTAAATTCAGATGTGTCCTTGGGCACATAAAGATTGGGAACCCCCGGCCTAGGATACGTGCTGCAGGTGGCAGCCACTCCAGGACCTACATTTCACACAGCACCTGCACAGGGCCAATTTGGACCCCCCTGACATGCCAGATCCAATGCCCACAGGAGTTGCCATAGGACTGAGCTGTATGCAGCACCCACTCTGGGCAATCTGACATACAAGCCACACAAGGAGCCTGCTCCAGCCGGTCTGGGGCAGGCAGCACATGCAAAACAGGTCCTAGAGCAGGCGCCTCATGCGGTGTAGTCACTGACCAGTGAGAGAGCAAGAATTGGATCTGGTAGGAAGGGGAGTAGGAATGGCCACATACCAGATCCACATCTACTCTGGTCAGTCAGGAACTCGACCACGTATGGCACCCACTCCAACCAGCCCAGGATCCACAGTGCATGGTGTCATATTGAATGAAATAGTTTGAATGTTTGTAATGGTTGCCCATTAGCCAGTTTCAGGAAGAAGATAAGATTTATCTCCTTATCTAAGTCATTGTTTTGGACTACGTGCAAAAGGTCCTGACTTTGTTTAAAGTCTTAACTTCTGAATTTTATCTTTAGAAGTCTTTTACAAAGAGAACCTGAAAATTGCATTCAGCAAATATCCTGAGTTCCGAGAGATCAAACCCTAGAGCCTTTTGATGATAAAAGAAACTAATTACTAAGCAAAAGAATCTGTTGACTAAGATCCGAGCCCAAATTTGGGGGCAATGACAGGCTTGAGTAGGAGGGGCCCAAGATGGCAGCTCACTCAATAAAAACTGTAACTTACTGTCCCAATTTAAAGGTAACTTCACTTGCAGAACAACGAAAGAAGAATTGCAAGTGTAGGCTGGATCAGATTGATCACCTGAACCAACCTCTCCATGAACACGAATCTCTTAGTTCATGCTGAAGCTGCAGAGCGCCCGAAAGGGACTGAAAGAAGGGGACTTAGTCCTATCAGTATTGAGGCCAGCCTATTGAACTGTATTGCTGAGGCGAGCCCATTGAACCGTACTACTGAGGCCAACCCATTAAATTGTACTACTGAGGAATGAAACCATATTTTGGTATTTGGCTTCTAGGAATTCTAGGATTGTAAGTATATTATGAAAATAACAGTATTGATTCAAATTTAACTTTTAGTTGTAATTGTAGTTGTTTTTGTAATACTAATTCTTATAGCATTGTTTGGGAAGGAAGTGCATTCGGAGCATTGTTTCTGATATACGTAATTATTGTGTTCTTAATGTTTGTGGTATTTCTTAAAGCTAAGCAGTGTTATATACGTAGCAAAGAATTTTAAAATAAAATTGTGTTGTATAAATTAAGTGTGTAATCATTGTGAAATTGTGCAATCAGCTAACTACTCCCCCAGCCAGTGCATCAAAACAAATCAGTAAATTGTGTGGGATTTGCTCTATTCCATAACCCACTAGAGACACATGGGTTTAGAAGACTAAGTCCAAAGCCACGATCCTGAAAATCCCTGTTCAGCTAATTTGGGCACAGAAAGTGAATATGAAATAGTGATTAGGACACTGCAATTTCCAAGAGAAATTTCAGTTCCTGTTCTACAGGATGCTTGTGTGTTTTACATTAAATATACACTGGGCAAAAGGCATAAGTAGCTTTAAGAGCAGGCGGTGAAATCCAAGACTGCTTTCCCAGGTGTATGTTCAGTATTGTTATCCAATGCAATACTTAAGTTATTTAAGTGCCTTAGAAAACAAAGTACCGTTCCCAAAAACACCTAATTTTCTAAGCATGCCTGAAAGTTAGCAGGATCAATTACAGCTTATTTTGATTTTCATACAAGTTTGAACTGCCTCCTATACCTAATTTTGAGATGGGTACTTTTTCCGCCACCTAAAGAACCCAATAACTACTTTTTCATTACTGTAAAAAGATCCTGATTACCACAACTTTTTAATTGATTTTTTTTTTTTTTAAAGAAAGGATGAGTCTGCAAGGAGATAAAAATAAGCACCCAGAAAGCAGCACTTAAAAACAAATAATATACTTGTTTTATTTTCTATATTGGAATAGCACCTTGGGGTACTAAATGAAGGACCGAGTTTTTATTGTGTGAGGCAATGAACAATGAAAAAATGGGACTAGGCAATAATGTGATATCATACAGTACTCTGTGAGAAAGTAGTTTATGATTAAGCCATGAATTGCTCACCTTTGTCCAGTAGAAAAGGTCTGGTGAAAAATTAACATTTGCTGAAAATGTGTGAAAAACAAACGCTTTTAAAAAATAGCTTGCCTTTGCAAAAATATTATCTAAAAAGCAATAAATGAGCTGTGTTAAATTAGCACAATGTGTTAATGAATAACAGATGACAGAAATTATTAATAAAATTCCAAGAATGTAATAGGACAGAGCAAGACAAATCCTCAGCTAAGTTCTCTGCATACTACTACTGTAAAGTCTACAGTAATATGAGGGATTTTGCCTGCCACTTATACCATCTTGACTTTTACAAAGACTGTTTAAAAGATTCTCTTCCTTTGTCAGCAATCCCCCTATCTCTGACTGAAAAAAAATATAGTAAATACTTATGACAAAAGTATTGGATTCCCACAGAAGAGAAAATTAAATACAAAAAACCACATGGTTAGAAACGTTCAAATTCACACTAGGAATTATTAGAAGCTGACACTATCAATTTATCTACATGAAAACCCCAAATGACAACATCAAGGTGTTGCTCAGTTAAGGTAAAACAGTTTTCCAATTGTGTAACTTATAATGAATTTGTCTAAAAGTTTGCGCCTGACCATTCAATATTGGATTTTTAAAGATGAATACCATTTAGCAGTGCTTCACAACTTAAGTCCGTGATTTGGACTGAATTTCCACAGTGTAGTCCATTTCATTGTCTGAATTTGGAAAATTGTATCTGCTGAACTACTAAAGTGATATGAAATTTATTTTAACTTATGAAGTAGTTTTAAATATTAAATATTAAGTAGCAAATTGAACATGAAAACTATTTAAATCTTGTATTGAAAAAAATCTTTTTTAGAAGGGAAAAGATAGCAAGATACATACAAGCTTCAATATTTAGTAGGCTTTCATTTTAAGTTCGTTTTTGCAAATTTTTCATGATTAGTCTACATCAGGAGCTGTTGCAATTTAAGCTAGTTTGGACATTTAGTATGAAACAGCCATTTCCCTGCATGAAAACTCATTCTGTACAAATACTAAGTGCAGAAGAATATTCACATTAGGAACCTTAGTGCAAAGGCTATTCCAGGCTACTACCCTGTTAGACAATCCTTTATGCTTTTAAGAAAAAAAAGCAGAATTTGTGAATTAGTTGTAGATAGACATAACAGTAGGTGAACACTAAGCTGAACCAATACAGTTGCTTAATCTATTCAGCCCTGCACTTAAAAACCACTGTAGTTTAAACTCGTTCCTTTCAAGTTTTGAATTATGATGGATTAGTTTATTTCAGGACAGATACAAAACAGTGGATCCGCTGTAAAGTGCTACAATTTTAAAGTGTTGTTCATCTGTGTACAACTAAGCCTAAGCCTGAAAACAAGAGCTTAAAGAGACCGGACTTCAAGACTTAAGAGTTCCACATCTAAAACTCAAGCACTTGCTAGACCATATTTTAAATTCAGATAACTACGATTTATTCTTATTTCAGTATTATACACACAGCAATCGAATGCAGCCTCTATCTTTCTAATGGTACACAAACAGGTTTGCAGATCAGCATTTGAATTGAACATTTACTCAAAGGAAAGAATAGTTAGCTAGTTAAGACATTTAAGACAGAAGAATCAGGCAAAAACAACAACTTATTGCACTTTATTTAAATCTTCAACATCTGCTACAAGTGTATACACCTTGTAAACTACCAAGACTCAAGGAAACATAGTGCAGTTTTATCCAAATGCAAGACTAAAATCCCTCCCAACTTCCAATTTTGACGAGCGTATTGTACTGATTGGTCCCCAACATCATCAATAAGTTTTTTTCAAAGACAGCAGTAGATTTCAATTGAAATTCAGCTAAAAAATACAAGCTTTGTTTAAAAAAAAGTTTTGTTTTGTTTTTTTACAGTCATCAACAGAAGCATTTCCATGGTTCTTTTTAAAATCTAACATTTACGACATTTCCCATGAAGGGCTTGTAACACATTGGTACACTGAGCTCTTCAAAACAAGCAGCAATGACAGCTTTCTTTCAGCTTCAACACTGAAATGCAAGGAAGAACAAAATAGTGAAAAGCTAACAGCACTTCTTTCAGAACATGCAGGATTTATATCACGCAACAACTTGTTTTACCTGAAAACAAGTAACAAGCAGAAATATAAGCAACTGTCACTCAGCTTCAGTTTTTTCAATAAGTTAGGCAGAAGTAACAGCAGTATAAGCAACAGTGTTTGTACCTTTAGTTTGATATAATACAAAAATATAACCCTTCATAAAGTCTCTGTCGAGCTAAGAATTCAGTATTAAACTTAAATAATGAATGGTGTGTTTAACAAATAAATGCAGATGGGTGCTGTAGGACAGTATAAGAATATTCATCTATTTTCTTCAGTATGCTAACTTGAAGACAAAACAAGCACTTCTCTGTGCATATCAGTTCACTATAACTGAAGTAAGAAGTACAGTTACAAATCTCACAAAATGAGCAGTTCAAGTCCTCCCTTTGCTGCTGCTTCCCTCTCCCTCAGTGCAATGGCTATACATCCAAATGGTGCAATGGTCCTAGACACTTAGTGTTTGTTACTAGTTACAGAACAGTTCTACTCAAAATGTCTCAAGGCACCATGGTTTCCTAAAATTATGATAAACAATTTCAAAGCTGACATATGAAACAGTTGGCAAAAAAGGCAGCTACTATAGTAACTGTAATCTTAAAAATGAACAAGGGTTTTACTTTTAACATACAGCTGTCCTTCTAATGCTGGCCACATTTTGCTTATAGGCATCTCTGCTGTTTAGACCTCCAAAAAACATTTACTGGGAAATATCCTACCAAGAATAACTATTCATCCTTGCACACAAAGAAAACAACCCTCTTATCATACCTTCAGTTAAATGAAAAAAATATCTTGAACAGTCATCCTCCTTCCTGCTTAGAAGTCTGAATTGTTGTACAGTTATTTAGGAATATATCTTCCACTGAGTCAGATTGGAAGTGCCACTCAATCACTATGTCATTTAAATAATATTTTCAACCACATAAGTGAATTTCTCTTTAGTATGAATAGAGAACAAGTGACAAGAACTGAAATGTCTATGGAAAAATTCCAAGAAGAAACTAGAATTTTCTGTGTACACTCTGAAGAGATAGATTTAGGGGGGACAGTTTTAACTAGAAAGGTCAATATTTACTTAACTCTGTAGACTATTTATATTAAACAAGTTTCTGCTGCAGAATTTTTGAGTCAAGGAATATAGCCTAATACATATGGTGAGATCTTCTACCTCTTTAGCCCTCTGCAGTTGTGGAACTAGAAGCCCTGTATCCAGTACAGGAACTGAAGCAGTAAGCTGTAAGGCTATCTTCTGAAGATTTCCTCGTAAGCCCTGGAGTAAGAAGCATGCCGGGATTGGGATGTGTCAAGGCAGGATCGTAGCACTGCATTTATTCTGAGTCCCACTACAAAGCACATAACAGCTCTGGAAGGCAGCTGTAGTTTTGACAGGTTCCCAACACTGTCTGAATTGGGGCTGCTCCAGCCCATGGAGTACCCCAAGATCACAAAGGCTTAAAACCACTTTAGTTATTCCCTATCCCCACATAAAGGTAGAAGAAAAACATTTATAGGTAAAAATGATCATATTTGATCTAAATCACACACAACGTAAGGAACCTGATTTACAGAATCCACTTCCCAGAGTACATCCAGTTTATAACATGGAATTTTTGTCCGTGTCCATGGCTTGTGTGTCAAGAACAAATCTTATTTAATATTTTTTCCTAAAAGAATTTTTGCTACACTATATATACTTTTGAAGTTACCCTTTTCAATTCCCAAGGTGGCTAGTTTCCTTGCACGGTAACTGATTCAGTAGACCTGATCCTTAGCTCTACTCAAACTAGTGCATTCAGTCTTCAGGTTAGTAAGTTTTTATTTTGAAAGAAGTCAATTCATAATTTTTTATGATGGAATTTATGTATTTAAATAAAGGGTTTATCTTTGGTTTCCAGTAAACCTTAATCTAGTGACCATGAAACTTTAAACCAGAAGATAGTCTAATGGCAAAACATTTCCTATAAAGATACAATAAATAGTCTCAATTAAAAATGCCAGCTTCAACACTAGTTTCCCGAGATATATACACCTTGTGAAACACAAAATTTACAGTATGGTATTCTCGCTTTAGTTATCTGACTGCTGGCTTTCCACACCACCAACAAATTTGTAACATGGTCAATATTTTTATTTTCTAAGCTAATAGCTAAAGCCTACATGTAAGGAAATGTAAAAATAATTACAAAATAGTAGGGAATGACTTTCTATTTTGAAATACCTTTAAATGCTACCTAAATATGTGAGTTTAATAAGGATACTACTAACTTTGGCTCAACTTTGTACATGATACAAACTTTTGAGCAATTTAAAACAAAGATTCACAATGATTTTCTAAAGAACCTAACAGTATTTTCCACTCCCTTTGCATGATATTTTTAATGCTTAATTTGTTTGTGCAAGGAAGTCTAACACACTGGTACTGTTTTACAGTGCTCTGCTCCAATTCCAGTTAGCTAACCAGAAAGGACAGTCCAGTATCAATGGAAGTAGTGCAAAGATTTCATGTAAAAGTGCCCATATAAGAGCTTTCACTTAGTGGCCATTTACTATTTTGCCTCCTAGCATTTTGAAGAAGTTGTCTTCCTTGAGTTTAAGATGTTCTGGTAAGTCCAGTTTTCTCTTAGCTTCTGCAATGTCTTCCTGAATTTCTGAAATGAGTTCATCTGTAAATGGAAGGAAGCACAATATTTGCATTAAAAAAACTAATCTGAATTCAAAGCACAACACTGAAAGAAAGCAAAGGCAAGGACACACATAACAGGTGTGGATACATGTAACAACTGAACTGTTCCCAAATGTCACTGATTAGGAACGTGTGTGCCCAGTAAGCCAAATAGTGAATAAGCGGTTGAGGCTAATGTTAGGGCCTGAACTTTGGGGTCCCAGGAGGTGGGAAACCTGTGACTGGGGGCATTTTTAGTTTTCTGCTTTCCTTTCTCTCCTAAACATTAGTTCAGTAAACTTCAACTCCCTGCAAGTGACCAAAGCCTGCAGCGTACTTGCTTGATTTGTAAGTAGTGGGGAAAAAGTGCTTGGAGTCATACCTTTAGGTTCCCAGGAGCTGGGGGAGCATGAGGAAGGGCTGCAGTCAAGTAGCAAGTGAGGGCAGAGCTAGGTGTTAGAAAGATACCTTTCACTGAACAAACAATGCAAGGGAGCTCAGTGATAAAAAAGTGCCAACAAAATGGGAAACAGGTGGGGGGCAGTAGAGTTCTGGCTGCATACCAAAGTAGCCAGTTACAGCAGTGCAGTGTGGGATGCCCACAGGATTGAGCAGACTTATGCCACAGGACACTTGGTACCCACACAACACTGAACCAGTACACACCGAATCAATCTATTCAAAATAGTACTTGGTTTTCCAGGTACATTTTTAAACATTCCAGGCAGATGTAATAGGCTTGCATGCGTGTCCACTTCAGGTTTAAAGCCGTCTCAGGGATTAGAAATATATAGCATTTAGAATACCGAGATTCCAAAAGTTTAATTTATTTCTCGAAATAGACATTTACTGACATGATTTTTAGTAAACTTAGAGAACGCTTTTAAAGCAGATTCTGTAAGAAACACCTTTGTTTCTCTAATGTACAAATTATAAGCTAGGAAGGCTAATAAATGCCTCCTGTTTAAGATTCTGGAAGATATGAGTATTGTGTAAACAAAAAAAATAAGATATGGACTAACGAGTGAAAAAGAAAGTTAAAAATCTCAAAAGACAAAACATTAAGCAAGCATTAACTTAACATAATACACCACTGGAGGAGAATAAACATCAAAAGATTGATATACCAGAAATCCAGGCACCACTGACATACCCTGGAGCAGGTAGAAAGTAACTCTATCTGAATGCAGGTTATTGGTAACCAGTTAAAATAAACTTTGGTATACGCCAGTCTTGCTTCATTTTTAGTAAGGTGTTTTTGTCCTGCTTGTTCATATTTAAGATGTTAAAAAGCTAATTTTGTTTTTTCAAGTTGTCCTCAGAGGTCTCTTTGGAAAACCCAATGGTCTTAATGGAAGAACTTAATAAAAGACATTTCACATAAATTTGTTCTTCTGTTTACTAGCTGTTTGCATCAAGTACATGTTAGATGAAAGTGAATTTAATATACTTTCCCCATTCTTTTGCCATCAACTACATTTGATTTCTTTAACACCGGTAAACCTTTAATCTGAAATTGAACTTTTGAGAATAATGTCACATTAGATGCAGTGAGAAATTTAGGAAGTTCCAATTTCTGAGACTAAGATTCTCCAAGGATTTCCAACATAAGAATCAGAGATTCCTAGATCAGAAAGTACCTCTATAAATCATAGAACCTTGAATAGCATAGACCACAGAATATTACCTACTCATTTCCATAACAAGTCCATAACTTTGGATTCATGGGGCTAAAATCCTGCTATGTATAAGCTGAACAGAATTTCACATAAGGGGCATTTAATGAGTGTTGAGAATGACTACTGTACTGCCAAATTCTTTTCCTTGGACACTTTGAAGAAAAGGTAACATGGAGAAGAGTAAGTAGTAAAAAAGGCACTACTGAAGAGATGCTAAAGTGAAATCTTAACATTACTCTTCTTCAAAATGCAAAGGAGAAATGAAATGCTTAAATACAGCAGCAATTTAACCTGTTAAATAGGCAGCCACATGTCAAGCCACTGGAGACAACATTACAAAACTAAAAAAAAGAAGGTAATTTAAGTCCTATGACAATCACATGATTGCAAAGCATAAGCAATTTGCATCTAAACCACACACTTCAGTACAAAAAGGCTCATTCTCTGAGAGTTTCCTACTCTTGATACATAACAGATGAAAGCTCATAAACACCTCCCACTGTATAACAAACACCAATATTGGGAAGAGCTTCAGGCAGTTTGAAGAGAGTGCAGCCTGAGGCATTATCCATCATAAGATTCCTGCCCCCGCCCCGTCTGCCCAATATTCTGTGAAAGCAAGACAAGTTTTATACAGAATTTTCTACCAAATCAGTTCTAGGTTGCCTGATGCTCATCCACAGTCAAAGCTGGGTTTTTTTGGCCAACATTAGTAAGAAATGTAAAAAAAAAGGCATGACTGGCTTATTCTAATCATAGTGAAGGGTTTAAATATACCATCTACCAGGGTGTCTTTTGCTGCCTGCAAAACGTAGGAGTTCAACTGAGTTTTGTACTAAAAGAGCCACCCAAGAATAGGGTACATGTGAAAAGTAAACAGCCTTGAAAAATAATTCAGATTTTCTGAAGGACTCTCTCTCAACTAAAGCTCAGATTCAGAAAGAAATGTAGAAAAATACCACGGTTTTGGCAGTGATATTAACACAGTAACCCAAAGGAAAGTATTCTGTCTAGAAAAAACAGATAGGACAAAGTTGAAATGTATGAAGTTTTGGCAGGATACTCTTCTGTGTTTTTCTGTATTCCTTATTTTTTCCTTTTTACCTAAATAGTAATGGTGTCTTTCTTCTACGTACCATACAAGTAGGCTCACACAGGAAAGAAACCTGTGCAGCTATGGTTAGTAAAGACCATACTTATGGTTGGAATGCAGAAGATTAGTTCCTTTTTTCCCTTTGATAATTATGTAATAGAGGAAAAAGACAAGGAAATGTATGACCAGCGCAAAAATATAATAAACATTTGAAGATCTGTATACCTACCTAAGGAATCAAAGTTTTTTTCTGGTCTGATGTACCCAATAATAGCTATACTAAGAATTTCTCCGTAAAAGTCTTCTTTGAAGGTATGGATGATGTGTGTTTCCTAAAGACCCAAAGAAATAAGTTAGGACCTTAGCAATTTTAAATTGTTCTGGGTATCCAACTGCCCTTTTTCTAGAAACCTTCAACCCACATTTAGCCGTTTAGCTCATATTATATTGAGAGGAAAAAAACCTTTATTTTCTTAAGGACTTAAAGTAAAAGACCTTAGTTTAAAATGTATGCATGTTCAAGAAACCTGACTGAAAACTGTTACAGTAAAATGTGAGCATCTGTGAAGCTCCAGTTAGACAGACTTAAGTCTGTTTCATGCCATTCCCCACGAGGGAAGAATATGGATCATAAATATTACTAAAAATACCCAATGATTTGATATTCCAATCATGGATTCTCAACTGAGGTACTATAAGACACCCCCCCCCCCGAGTTCTGCAACACTGCAGCCAGATAAAACTGCCCTGTCAGTAGGACTATGGTGCATGCACACACTCCTGCACTTGGGCTCTTTGATAATGCTGAAGAAGACCAAGCTGGCTTGGGCTGTACCTATTTTCTTCCATTTTTGATGGCATTCATGTTCCTTTAGCTTAGTACTAATTCCTTTAAGAAGCCTTTTTTTACATTAATGTACACAGATTCCCACAGTTATCAGTAAAATGAATGGAAGGATAAAATAAAAGTACACAGAGCAGTGGTTTTCAAACTTATTTCATTTGCAGACCCCTAACAAATTTCAAACGGAAGTGCAGACCCCTTTGGAAATGGAATGCCTTTTCTGGGATCCGAAACTTTATTTTCACAGTCATCTTTTGCAGACCCCTTCGACATAGTCTGCAGACCCCCAGGGGTCCGCAGATCACAGGTTGAAAACCACTAACAGAGAAACCTATTAAGTTTTACAAATGTATCTTTTGATTTATAGGTGGATTAAAAACAAACAAACAAACAAACAAAAAATAGATGCCATGAGGCTGCTGGTATCCTTATTTACTATGGAGAAGTCCATATTTATCTGCCACTACCAGTACCACAGCATAATCTGTCACACTTCAAAGAACTTTTGCAATAAAAATTTAACTAGTTTAAACTGATAAGGCAAGCAGTAGAAGAGAATATCTCTCATTCTTGATGACTCTGAGATACAGTCTGAGAGTTTATCTGTTTGGTATGTAAATACACTAGAACCTGTTTCATGACTGAAGTGGGATTTCTAAGTCCCACAAAACCCATTTAAGGACCAAATCCTACTTACGTTACTCAAGCCAAATATCCCATTGGTTTGTTGTTGCTGAAGTACCATAATAAGCAGAATTCTTACCACTGACTTCTTAACATTCTTGTAGTATGGGTTCCAGCCTATGCTTAAAACCATTTTATGCACATCTCCATTTCCAATGCAGGCCCATCCATAGTATATACCAGTAGAAATATCAGATGGAAAGCTTTCGACCACTTGTTCAGAAAAATTAGCTGCAAAATATTTTTAAGAAGATGTACACATATGTAAGTCAAGTGCTTATAATATATTAAAGTTTTAAAACACAGTTAAAAACAAACCATCACTCGAGACACTTAAAAATAGAAGATACTCAACATTAAGACACAATGTTCTAATCAATACAAACTTTAAGTGTAAAACAACTTAGCCTGTGGTCATTGTGCTCTCATACTGAAATCCCTTCCATATGTTAGAGCTAGTGAACCCACACTAGAATACAGTAGCAAATTTTTGCTCAAAAAGGACCTTACACAGTCTCTCTACAAGTTGAATTCTAAGGCTTTAACTTGAACAGAAAACCAACTACACCAATGGTTTTCAACCTTTTTTAGAGCCACAGCACTCCTCCACCGTGTTTGATTGTACTGGTTCCCCCAGCTGAGAACCCCCGTTTGCGCTACCTCAACTTACTTCAGTGCTTCTCAACTGGGTGTCGCTATCCTCCAGATAAAATTGCCCCATGGCTGCTGCATGGCCAGCCCAGGAAAGGCTGTAGCAAATACACATGCTTCTTCTATGTGAGGGCCCTGATCAGCCTAAAGCAGGAAGGAGCTGCTTAATGCTGCCCAGCCATTTCCAGTCTAGCCCTGCTCCCTACACTCCATCTGGACACAGAGGCACAGTGAGTAAGGACTATCTTGCATGCCTCTGGGGTGGGGCTAGAGCCAAAAGCCAGCTCCTGCCTACTTCAGGCTGTTCGGACACACAATGCAGCAGGAGTGGGCATAGGGCAGTTTCACCTGGCTGCTTCTTCCATGGCAACACCTACATCACTGAACCCCTGAGGCATTTCGTGGACCCTGGTTGAGATCAACTAAACTACACAACAGAAGTCACAATGAAACAAGGTTCTGAGTCTCACAAAGTCAAAGTTAGGACTGTAAGCACCCCTCAGTAGCTGGAGTACATATCGCTTTTTTGAACTTCTTAGAATTAAGAAACCCTCAGATGGCAGAAACTCAACCAAAAAATGTAAAGCTAAGACCACACTTCTAAAACAAATCTCTCTTTTTTAAAAAACTTAAAAAGAATGATCCTTGACCTCCCCCAATGCAAAACTTTGATCATCCTGCAGACCTCCCAAAGGATATCAAATTCATTTATGGAAAGAATTCAGGTTCATAGATTCATAGTTGTTAGCGGTTGAAAGAGACCTCACAGAGCACCGGTTCAAGCCCCCCTGCACATGGGCAGGAAAGACTGTTGGGATCAGATGGCCTTATGTAGCTGTTGTCTGTGAACTGGATGATGAATTCAGGACTTTATACATGTCTCGAAACACTTCCTGGTATTAGTGGAAGGTCTGTAGCGTTATTAAGAAAATACACCACTGTAACAACTTACTCATTTCCTTCCTGCTAGCCATTATCACTTAAGGCATGTTTCCGCAAAGAATTTTAATTTGTAATAGGTCTACTAAACCAGTACAATTTATGTAGGAGTGCACCGATGTAGATTTTGGGGGCCAATACCAACAGCCGATTTTTAAGGAAGCATAATGGCCAAAACAAATCCGATTTCGGATACAGCTGCATCCAGCTAGTAAGTCTGTTGTGGTGGAACGGGAGGAGGAAGAGAAGGGGTGGAGGGGCCGATCAATGTCCCCGTGGTGAGGGAGGGAGTGGGGCAGGCACTGTCCAGGCAGGGAGGGGCGTGGAACGGAGACGCAGCTCATCCAGGGGGTGCGGGGGGGTGTGCCCCTGGATCTGCATGGAGCAGGGTGGGAGAGCTGCAGCTACAGGCTGGAGCCAGGGCTGCACTGGTCCCCTTTGAGCAGGGGATAGGGTGGGGGCCAGCAGCGGCAGCGCTGGCAAGGGGCTATGAGAGGGTCAGATTGCAGCCACGCCAAATTTCACCATAGCCCCCTCTTCCCCCCACCCTGTAGCCCCTTCCCATCATCACTGCCGCCCACCCCAAGCCCAGCCCCCATCAAGAAGAGCCCGGCGTAGCCCCAGCCCCAGTCTGCTCGCCCTGTCCTGTGCAGATTTGGGGGGCACACGCCCTCCCCCCCCCCACTGTACCCCCCAGACAAGTAACAGATCCATCCTGCACCACACCCCACCTGGACAGCGCCTGGCCCAACCTCTGCCCCACTCCCTCCCTCACCACAGGGGCACTGATCTGCCCCGCTATGTTCCTTCCCTCCCCTTTCTCCTTCTACCGCAATGGACTTACCAGCTGCACACAGCTCTCCATGCTGCCAAGCTGTGCTCCTTACCGCCTACAAGCTGCGTTGAGGCTGCGCACATGCACAGGCATTTATCAGCCAAATTATCAGCTACATCGGACCAATTTCCAATTCAGCCAATTTTCTTTATATTAGTGCCAATCCAATAGCGGACCGATGCATCGGTGCACCTCTAAATTTATGTGATTTAAATTGTGGTTACCAATCTGGATTACATTTATAAACTTACTTACATGTGTACAACCTCACTTTTATAACAAGACTCAATGAAAAAATATATTACCTTCAGGCCAAGCCTAGCTACTTTTGCCCTCTTTTTGTTTCCCACCATTTCTTTGTTTCCCACCTTGCATTTTCTTCTCCTGAAGGAACTCCTAATTCTCATGTTTTTCCTTCTAGAGCTAAAGTGCAATGACACTTTTATAAACTTCTTATAATGCTCATAGGCACCCACCTGTTCATCTAGTCAGTTTTGACCTTGAGTGAAGAGAATTTTTTTTAAAGACACAGAGTAGTACTCAAAAACTTTATTCAACACTAGAAAACTAATATGTTACCAAAATCGGTGATCAGCAAAAAGACACCTCCAACCAATGCTGCAACCACTTTAACTATAATCTGTTTGCAATGTATTACAAAATATGCTATGTCATTGTAAGAGGGAAATTCTTCAGAAGTTTTCCTTCCTGCCTAAACCAGCCCAGTTCCTCCAGCTTCCCAGCATTACAGAAGTTTAGCACAGCCAGGCACTAGCTGTTACTAGAATCGAAAGCTGAACATTAGGTAGTCAAAATGAGAATCAAACGCTAACGGCTCGAGTTTAGGAAGCGCACAGAAATAATTATAGAATTTCTCCAACATGGCCATTGCAATCAGGATACGTTTCACTCTCGATAAATACGTCTTATGCCTACATGAGCAGTTAAAATTTTCCCCACCTCACCCCATCTTGGTTCAGGAGACCCGGTGCAGATGACCTTGCCCTGGACAGCAGGGGCACTTGCGTGTCAACAACAGGTGCAGCTTCACCTCTGCAGAAAATGGCCTGCCCTTTATTCCACATCATGCTGTCCTACATGGGTTGTGAAACAGTGTCTCACATTACCAATGCTGCACCACCACCAGAAATTTTTGCGACAGTGGTGGAGTCAGTTCCAGGTTTCCCTCCTCCTCCCCCCCCCCCAAGTCTCTCTGCACCAACCAAATCCCCAGGGCTGATGAAGTGTCCCAGGGCCAGGCTGATTGTGCTCAGAGGACTGGCAGGAACAGCATCAGCAAAGGACACTTTTTGTACAGTACAAACCGTGTCCACAGAAGCATATGCAGGCATGGGCACGTGCGAGTGCAGGCATGTATGCCTGTGCGTGTTGCCACCTGTGTGCGCAAACATGTGTGCATGTGTGCTGGTATAAGGGTGTATAAGGACATACATATACACATGCAGATATGGGCAGGCATATGGGTGTGTGGACACAGATGTCCATGTGTACACGTGTGGAGATGGGCATGGGCAGGCGCACAAACATGGGTGCATGTACACATGGGCATGTGCAGAGGCAGAGGTGCCAGGGAGTGGGCACACAAGTGTGAACCTGCGTCTGGGGACACAAGGGTGCCAGAGGGGGAGCCGGTCTTGACCCCCGCCGCCGCTGCCCCAGCCACACACCAACACACAAACACACACACACACACACACACAACCAAATATGTTATATTTTAAAAACATATTTTAATTTGAAACAACCTTTTATTTTGAAGATTACATCCTTTTTAAACTAAAATATTCAGCTCAAAAAAGAAATGGACCATTTTGTGCTGATCAAGGGAAATATGTCATTTAACCTAAAACAATTTTTTTTCCTGTACTGGTGATTTCTGTGCAGTTATATCAGGGATAAATTAATCCCAATATGTACAGCTTGCAGATACCAATAGTTAGAAGCGGGTGGGCGGGGCAAGGAAGGGGCGGGGCGTGACCAGCTTCCAGGCTGTGGAACCGTTCGGGTCCGCCCCGCCCCCCGTCCCGAAATTGGGCTCGCCCACCGGCGCTCTGGCACCACCCCGCCCCCGCAGGCGGTTTCGTCACGTTACGCCCACGGCCCACATCCGGCCCGCGGGGCTCCTCGCAGGTGCGGAAGCGTAGCACTGCGTTGCTACACGGGTGGGAAGTGTCGGGGCCCTGCCCGTTGGGCTGGGCGGTGATCGCAGTGCGCGGTGGCTGCACCAAGGCCCGGGGGGCCGAGCGAGGGCAGGTCCCGGGCCCCGGGCAGCAGTCCCAGCGCGCTGCACTGGAGCTCGATCCTCGTGACTGGCCCACAGACGGCCCCGCTCTGCTCATCTGGTCCGAGGGACCAGAAGGTTGAGCGCCACCGGGTTAGACGAGGGATTTGTACGGGATGGTTTGGATAGGGATGATCCTGCCTCAGGCCCGGGACTGGACTACATCTCTGGAGGTCTCTTCCAGCCCGGCTTCTTTATGATTCCCTATGAATGATGCCATCACTCCCTCACCACCACATTTTTGAACCCCCAAGGGCTGGATGACACGGCTCCGTCAGCTGGCTCTGGGCCATGAGGTGCAGGCACTGAGCACTAGTGCCAGGGGCCAGTAGTTCTCGTGAGACTTGAGACGGCCCGTTGGAAACAGCCAGCCCCTAGCTTACAGGGGCATCGGTCTTTACTACTTCCATCCAGGAAGGCTGCACACCAGTTGCAGATGCTTCCTCAGCCTGACGAAGGGTATGTGTACCCAAAAGCTTGCTAAGAAGAATTTGTCCAACTATTTGAGTCGGTCTAATAAAAGATACCAGATTTATCCCCAAAACCTTGATCTCCTAGCTTGTCCCTCAGGTTTTGACTACTGAAAAATAACAGCAGTTCTCCTGTGGTAAAGAACTTGGAAGGATTGCAGCCGGTCAGACACATTTTAACACTATGGATTCCTATTTGAAATTGCTGGGTTTGGCCTGTGAATCATGCATAGGTGCCAAGACTGAGCAGCATCCTTAAAAGGATTTCACGGCACCCTGGCTGAGAATCTGCTATAGACTCTGTCTATACTAGAAGGGCCTTGTCATTGACATGCTCTGTTACCTGCCATGTCCAAGAAAAGTGTTGGGAACTACATCAGGACTTGTATATGGCCTTCATTGACGTTACTAAGTCCTTTGATTCCATCAGTCAGGAGGCCTTGTGAAAAGCACCAGCCAGATTTGGCTATCCTGAGAACTACATCAAGGTTTTGAGGCTCCTCCACAACCAGATGACTGCGACAGGTCTATGTACCAGTTTGAAGACAGATGCATTTGTCATCTGAACCGGGGTCAAGCAAGGTTATGTCATCACCCCAATCTTGTTCTCTCTCTTTTTTGACACTCATTCTAGTCATCCTAAGGACCACCTTCCTTCTGAAATTGACTTTGAGTACCAAATGGAAGGAAGACTTAAATCTGGGACATTTTCTCTCAAAGACCAAAGTACTCAAAACAACCATCGTTGACCTTCAGTACACAGAGAACTGCACCATGCTTGCACACATGGGCTACTGGTGCCTCCTGAATCTGGGGGGGGGCACCCACAGAAGCCAGCAGCAGGGATGGGGCTGGAGCACCTGCAGACACCATCGGTGGCATCGGGGATGGCCCTGTCGGGGGGGCACATGCCCCCCCCCATGCCTCTCCTACCAGTCGCCTATGCTTGGACACACTGAGGAAATCCTCCAGGTGGCACTGGATCTTTGGGCCTCTCTCCCAAACTTTGGGCCTCTCTCAACACCAAAAAGACTAAACTGCTCTATCAGCCTGCTCCAGGCTATGAATGCGACCCACCTCCCTAAATTACCATTGAGGGGAAAACTGTGGAAGTAATCGCACATTTCCCTTACCTCTCTCAGAGTGAAGATAGATGAGGAGAACAAGCACAGGATTTGGTGCACAAGTGCTTCCTTTGGAAAATTATTTCAACATGTCTTTATTCATCGCAATCTCCAGAAAGACACCAAGACACAGGTCTACATTGCAGTCATCATCACCACCCTCCTCTCCAGGTCTGAAATGTGGATGACCTACCATCATCATCTCGAGAGGTGGAGAAGTCAATCTCAATGCTATTCCTGTATTGCTGGAGAGGTATCACGAACGATACATCCAGAAAATCCTCCATATCAAATGGGAAGATTGCCGCACAAACCCCAGCATCCTTGCTGAAGCCAATTTTACCAGCATTGAGTTGGTGATCCTCAAGCACCAACTTTGCCGGACCAGACATTGTGTGTGGATGCCTGACTCAACTCCCAAAACAAATGTTCTACTCCCAGCTTAGTAACAGCTTGAGATCTTGATTTTGCAGTGGCCAGAGAAAATGCTACAAGGACGCATTGAAAGCATACCTCAAGAAAACATGCTGAAATCAAGAGTTGGGAGGAGCTGGCTGCCAAGGTTGACTGCAACCTCAACCAGTGATCGCTCATTTTGAGGTAAAGCATCTTGCCCTAAAAGCAGAGAAGAGAGAGCAGAGAAAAGAAAAGGAGAGGCATCCCAGCCTGCAGCTTACTCTCCTCTATGGAAAGACCTGCACCTCTGTGGTTCGTTCAAAGATTGGACTCAAGTCACCTCAAGACCTATCAGTGAGCCATAGTAGAGATCATTATCTAATCAAGGGATTGCAGCTGCTGCTGACTAGAGGGGCAGCTGCTACTGCTGCTTTGACAACGATGTCTGGACCTGCAGGCATGAATGCAGCTTTGCTGAAGGAGATTTAGAGTTACACCCACCTCCTTTCCACAGCAGAAGATGGGTGGTTTGCTTGTAGAGCTCTGCCATGGATTATGATCCCTTTACACCCCTGGCCTTCCTGGCTGATTTGGCACAACTTTGGTATGTATGCCATGGGACGTTTCTCTCCAGTTTTCTTTTGGATATGATCTCTGCATCTCCTTATTATACAGTGTGCATATTATCTGGGTTCTTTGCAGCTTGAGCAGAAAAGCAGCAGCATTTCAGTCTTTCAGAAGTCACTTCAGAATCCTGTCAGCCAACAAATGTCTGTCCTAGTAGTATGTGGGGTAATATTTCATTGGCTGGACTATTTGAAACAATAAAACTCCAGTATTAACCATTTAAAATGCCCATGTATAAGGCAAGCAGCCATTTAATTAGTGCATAAAAGTTCTAGCTATTTGCCAAATCCCACTGATTTCAATATTCAAGGCAGTGGGATCTCCTAATTTGCACTCAGATGTTGCAACTCCCTAACACTAATTATCTTGTTACTCAGAAGATGCACTCAGCCTCTGTTTTACAATTAGCGCTTCATAAAGACTCCTTACTACCCAGAGGGCTTTGCTCTTGATAGGCCTTAAACTGATGTAATTTAGCCCAGTGGTGCTCACAGTTTTGGCTCTGCAGACCAGATGAACTGCACTGGTTCGCAGGCTGGATTGGACCCCATGCCACCTCCACTTCACGGGAGTCCAATCCCAGCCAGACAGGTGTAGTGCAGGTCCCTGGGGTCCGATCCCAGCAAATGGAGACTGGCCAGAGGCAGTGTGGGGCCCCAGAGCCTGATCCCAGCCAGGTGGAGGTGGCATGGGACCCCAAGTTGCCCCCACCTGGCTGGAAATGGGCCTTGCAAAGGCCCTGCCCAGCCCCTGTGCACTGTGATTGAGCTCTGCAGTACCCTGTACACCCAATGTAGCATGCAGAGACACAGCCCATGGGAGCCCCACAGGAGCCATGGGGAGCACTATGGGCTAGATTACCAGGTGCCAGTGGCTAGATCTGGCTCATGGGCCAGGGGTTGAGTACCCCATGATCTAGCCAGTTTCAGAAGTATTAGTAGCACAGCATTGTATGAGATGGGATTGAACTGTCTATCCCACACGGGCAATTTTCTGATTGCTAAATGAGCCTGGTACATATGGTTTAGACCAGGGGATGGGCAACTTGCAGCACAGATGCCACAAGTGACACAGGCAGCCTCTGAGATACCCAGCAGACTGGGGAGGGAATAGACAGCACAGTGGAGGAAAGGTCGGAGCAGAAAGCTGAGCAGCAGATCAGGTAAAAGAAAGGAATTGGAGTGGCAGTCAAGGAGGGCCTGGATCTAATTTCAGCATGCCTGCTGAAAAAGTTGACCCCCATTTATTGAGACCAGCCCCGCCTTGGACAGACATATCAGTCCTATATTAATCAAATGCCGAGTTTACAGGCTTTTCTAATTCCTACACTGATACTCTCCACACTGAAGTCATCTTGGTGTCATTCTCAGACTGGTTGTGAGTGGTCTTACAGCTTGGCTGAATGCACCTCTGAGTAACCAGTATTAGGGAACTGCAAAAACGGAGAGCAAATTAGCAGGCCCAAGCAGGCTTTAGTATTCAAATCAGTGGGATTTTACAATTTATTATACAGCTTCAGAAATACCATATATGAGACCTGACACACACCATTCCTATCCATTCTAGCTGAGTTGCAATGCGCACTGCATACTGTATACATACATTTGAAATCCACCTCAGTACTTCTTTCCCTCCTCTTGAGCCAAAATCATGCAGGAAAATAAAGCTCATGGACTACATGTATATGTGGAAAAATGTCTTATATCAAGTAGTTTCGTATATATTTGAACAAAGAAGTGGAAGGGAGTGAATCCCAAAAAAAAGAAAAATGTTCAGGTGTTGCTTGTAACAATTGTACAATTGCAGTCATCATCAAAGCTTTCCTCTGTGCTGTAGTTGCTAAGAAGTCTTACTGTGGATCATTTTGTAGCCTGGGAAGTGCAGCAGCATAGAAATGCTGTTCCAGTGCTTATTTCTCTGTTAATCAGAGGGGGGGGGGTGCCACTTTGCTTTTTCATTCCTCCTTTATGGTGCCAGAAATTCTTCATGCTCTTCCAGTATTGCTAAAGCAGCTCCTAAAGTGCTCTGATTGATGTCCCATCCCATTACTCAGTTGGTCTAATAAAAGATAGCACACCTACCCAAAGAACCTTGCCTGCCTGTGTCCTTAGACCAACACGACTACAACCAAAAACCCATTCCTCACTATTTATCTGATCCAACTGACTTCACTGCATACTGGGTCAGACTGCTGGACCTGTGTATGCCATATGCAGATTCAGAACTTAATGCCCCAGCAGCACGAATAAAGAGCTCCAGTATTACAAGACTGGGAATGGGTGCAGGTAAACCAGGAAGAAAAAAAGAAACTAAACTTAAGCTCATTAGAATCAATACAAAGGCTTATACTACTTCATCAAGCTGTAAGAGAAGAAACCTAGTTAAGGAAGAACAGAATTTCTAACGAAGGTGTTGCCTGCTGTAGTACTTACATGTATTTGTCAATCATGTTCTATGTGTAAGGAGTATTAAGTATCCTATTATTTTTTGTTACACCTGCCTTTCTATGTGCCTGTGATCATTCTGCCTATCATATCTTTTCTATCAGAGTATAAGAGATTTGCATCAGAGATTCTATCTGTATATGTACAAAATCCTGCAATTAACGGTATGTGTACAGTCTGCTGTGCCTCTGAGTGCCACATTAACTTCCACACGGTCATAGTAGTTTATCTGGTATCCATTAATTGTAGGACTGGCCTAACCATTAGGCACTAATGTTTCTAGAATGCCTAGTACAGTGGAACTCAGCCTGTTTGACCAAATTTAGGTACTAGTACAATCCAAATTCAAAATAATAGGATCGCTTAATAATCTAATTGCACCTATTACTTTTATGATTTTTTGCATTTATTTGTTGAAAAATCTGAAGTTCATTTGTATCTTATTCAGATAAAATATGAAGAGCAGTAAGAGATTACAAACAAATTATTAATTTAATCAACATCCGTGATAACATGTGCTGTCATTTCACATTTGTTCCACTGCAAATGTTTCTGTGTTAATGCCATTTTCTTTAACTTGTTTAATTACTGATGAATATCGAAGAATAGCCTGATTCCAACAGCAACATTAATACCCCAATTTCATTAGCAAATATTTTCAAATGTACTGTGTTTTAAGCAAGCATATTAACACTTTGGCCAAATCTTTTCCCTTGGTAAATACAAGGGAGTTTAACATATATTGTCATAGCATTTTATGATGTACAATATTTATTTGCCTTTGGTAATCCAGGAAATCCAAGCAGGTACATACCATCTCGGCTTTTTGGATCTCATTTTGCAGTCCTTTTTTTACTAATATGAGCAACTGCTTGGTACTTGGCACTCCTTGAATAGGTAGCTTTTCAGTATTTCCTTTTCCTCTATTTCAGCATATGATGCTAAGTCTATACCAGGGGTTTTTAGCCTTTTTTGATTGGTGTACCACGGGCAGCCAGTGGAGAAGCAGGGAGTCTCCTGGCGGCCAGTAGACGAACGGGGGGAAGAGGGGAGGTCCCCCGGCGGCTGATTGGCTATGGGGCGGGGTGTGTGCAAAAGCCCCGCCTCCCGCTTCTCTGTGATGCTGCCACATACCCCTTGCGCTCTTCCCAAGTACCCCCAGGGGTACACATACCCTGTTTGACAATCCCTGGTTCTGTACTCTTCTACTGATGGCTGAATTATTACATTGGCATTTCAATGGTTATTTGTCTTCCAGATGCTCCTGTAGGGTAGAAAGAAGTTGTTGCTATCTTGCAGATGGGAATTTCTGAGGGATTTAGGTCAAAATTGTAAAGTATTCACTAGTTTTGGGTACTCAAGATAACTACAGGTTGAAAGGACACAGCAGGATGCTGCCTGGCGCCACAGAACTGCAGTTGTTTTGCTTTTGTGTTGGTGGCCACAGGCTCCTGAACAAGAAGCAATATGGCTGTATGAACATGGCTATGCTAATGAATGTTGCTGAGGAAGAGCTAATCAACCTGTCCCTAGCACCTCACTATGGCAGCTGCAATGTCTGGAATTACAAGTGGTATAAATCCTGGCTTAGGAGCTCTATGGAGTGCTCAGAACTGCGTCCTGGATTTTGTTCCCTGAAAGTTAGCCTCATTAATATATGCTCATGAATACTTGTCCAAAACAGATCTCCATACTTGTGATAGGTACACATTTCAATAGACAGGAGATACTCCAAGTTTCCTTCAAGTGACATCATATACCAAGTAGTTTTTTTTAGGTTCTCATTTAGGCAGGCACTACAATTTTTATAGTGTGACATGTTGGTTGCTGAAAACGGTAAAAGCGAGTTTAAGTTTTATTGAGTACAATTTTCTGAGCCCAAAATTGCCAGTTTTACTAATGCAATTTTATTAGTGCAATGTAGCTATAGCCTGAAGCTAAGTTTAACAATTGCCTGATATTTGACTCAGAAAAACCACTGTGAGCTTGTGTTACCTGTGCTAAAATCTGACTGCAATTCAATGTGCTGGTAAACAATATTTAAACTGAATGATTTAGACATGGCAAATTCTCATTCATGTCCTGAAATGATGAGTGCTGTCATCTGGGAGCTGAGGACATACAGCACCTTGAAGGGTCAGGTCCAAAGTTAATACAAAGTATTCAAACTCCTTTTACTGTTCTCTCTAACTTTTTACTTCACTCATTCTTTCAGAATTTCTATATTTCATTTTTCTTCAGTCCCAGCTTTCTCTATGCTCTTCTTTTTTCAAAAGATTACTTTCATTCATTCCTTCACCCTTAGTTTCTTAAGTCGACTGACACAAACATTTGTTTCCACCAGTCCAACTAAATTAAGTAAAAACAATGTGTCAGCAGGGGAAAACCATTTATCTGTCTATGCAAATACTCATCCTGCTGCTAGCTGACAATGAATATGGTGAGACATTAAGGCTAAGTACAGACAGTCAAAAAGCCTGAGGCTGAATCAATTCAATCTTTACAGGTTAGTTTAAACTGCATAGATTGAACCGATAAGCAAGTGAACAGACATTGGCTTTTGATTCTGGAAATGCAGCCACATGCCTACGGTGGCCCAGGCCAGAAACTGCAGGGTGCTAGAGCATGCCTCCCTGCTCGGCTGGGGAAAACAGCTTGAGCCAAGGCTAGCTCACCCACCCTGCAAGGGGAAGTTTACAGGAGAGGTACAAAGCATTCTGGGATGCTGGGGGACCATGAGTTAACTTGAATCTGGAGGGGATCTGGGCCAGAAGTTCAATAAACTGATTTAACCTAAATCAGTTAAGCCTGATACTACATCCATCCAGGTTTATCTTAAACTGGTTTTGGCCATTTTCAAAGTGGTTTATATGCACTGAACTTCTGTTGTGCTACAGATCTGAACCAGTTTCTGATTACTTATACTGGTTTATGTGTAATTTCTGTCCCTAGCCAAAAAGCCAATAGTAGCAGTTTTCTGATTTTATTTACTAATGGTAGTAACTTGGAAATAGTAAGCAAAATTCTGAAGCCCTTGCACTGGCAAAATTACCAGTGACTCCAGGAGGGTGCCTGGCAAATGAAGGAGCAGAGGGCTGCATCATATGACCTACTGGCAGCTGGGACTCTCAGTTTAGCTTAGTCCAAGGAACTAAGGTGATTTTTAATGGGACTAGACAAAAAAAGTGTATGTCTCTATTGTTTAGCATATGTTTCTTCATCCTGAATATACTTAATCATTCATTTTGTATGTTGAAGGAACTGCAAGCTTCGATTTTTCCATTTTTAAAGAAACTCAAAAGTCTTCAGTATTTTGTAAATGACTAAAACATCTCAGAATAAATGTATAATTTTCCTTTGATACCCACAAGGTGGCAGGCATTCTCTTTCTTACTGATATTGTTACTGAAGCTTATTTCAATAAAACTGAAATGTAAAGCTTACTTTAGATTAGAAGTAATTATTTGTATAAAGGGCATGCTTTATAATTTCAGAATATGTTCATTAGTAACTAATATCTCATTCTATCAAGTTGTTATCACAGCTAATAAAAAGGAACTATGGTCAAAGATAGCTCTAATTTTTCGGAGATTCTTATATGAAATTAACTGATAGTCCCAACGTAATCATTTTTACACCCATGACCAAGTCTGGAGACTCTGCACCTACCATTTTCTGATTCAGTGTTTCAAATGATATCTTGAACGTAGAAACAAAAATAAAAATGAATCTCCATCACTGAGTCCTTATCACAAGACAGTTCCTTCTCAGTTAAAATTCTTCTGAGTGAAAAATTCACAGCAAATGTTCTCAATGAATTTCAATGCTCTTTACAGAGTAATAAGTACCTTGCAAAAATCATATTCAGTATATTCACCAAATGAATTTCATTGTATAGTTTTTAGTGTGTAGGTTGTAGACAGAACTATATCATAATAATAGCTTCTCATAATAATGACTATATTTTTATATACTCTACAGCAGGGGTTCTCAAAGTTTTTATACCGCAGCCCAGCAGTGACAGCCAACCGTGGCCGGAATTTCCAGCTGGAAGACAGGTAAAGATACCTCTACCCCCCGGGCAGGGGGTGGGCCAAACCCTGCGCTGCCGCAGGCCCTGCAGAAGGAGCCACGGCCTCTCCGCCCGGCTCTGGGGGACCGCGGTTTGCCGGTCCGCAGCCCCTTCCAGTTTGTCAGCTGACCATGCTGTGGACCAGCAGCCAGCCTGCCATGGCCCGGTACCGGGCTGCGGCCCAGGGGTTGAGACCCCCTGCTGTACACCAATGGTTAAATTGGGTAAATTGAATGCAGAAATAAAGTTCAGCTTTCACTTGTCCTCCTAGCTGTCATTAACAGTAAGAAGCTGTAGAAAATAATTCATTTCTATAACTTTTCCTCTTTATTTTCACTCACTGCACAAGAAGATGGTATTTCGGTTTGTTTAATTATATGAACTAAATTTCAGTGGACATAATCAGTTTGTGACATTACTTGAATAAAACCCACATAATTAATGTACACTATATATAATGGATATCTAATATTTATGCAGTGCCCCTCTTCTGGAAGGATCCCACACTGTTGGAAACATAAACGATCTGGAAAATGGGTTGGAGTGCATCCTCAGCAGGTTTGCAGATGACACCAAGGTGAGGGGAATAGTAGATGTGCTGGAGGGTAGTGCTAAGATTCAGAGAGCCCTAGACAAATTGGAGGATTGGACCAAAAGAAACCTCATGAAGTTCATTAAGGGCAAGTGCAAAGTCCTGCACTTGGGACAGAACAGTCCCATGCACTGGTACAGACTGTGGACTGACTGGCTAAGCAGCAGCGCTGCAGAAAAGAACCTGGGGGTTACAGTGGACAATAAGCTTAATATAAGCCAACAGTGTGCTCTTGTTACCAAGAAGGCTAACGGCATACTGGGCTGCATTGGTAGGTGTGCTGCCAGCAGATCGAGGGAAGTGATTATTCCTCTCTGTTCGGCGCTGGTGAGGCCACATCTGGAGTACTGTATCCAGTTTTGGGTCTCCCACTACAGAAAGGATGTGGACAAATTGGAGAGAGTCCAGCAGAGGGCAGAAAAATAGGAGGCTGAGGGAACTGGCCTTATTTAATCTGGAGAAGACTGGGGATTTAATAGCAAGCCTTCAACTACCTGACTGGTGGCTACAAAGAAGATGGGACTACATTATTTTCAGTGGTGGCAGATAACAGAACCAGGAGCAATGATGTCAAGTTGCAGCAAATCACACACCGCTGGTGTGTGATGAAGGGTTCAAAAACCCTTCGTCAGGCTTTTGAACCGGAAAGCTTGCTTAATAACTATTCTCCAACTATTTGGGTTGGTCTAATAAAAGATATCAGATTCACCCAAGGAACCTTGTCTGCCTATGTTCTTAGACCAACACGGCTACAACCTACATGAACTAAATATAGACATTGGATTTATGACACATTATAACCTGCCTGACATCTGACTCCCCAGGTATCTCCCCACTATTCATCCCCCTTCTCTCTCTTCCCCCCTCTCCGCAGCCTGTCTCTCACCCATTGACTCCTCAATCTACATTTTCACTGACTGCCTGTCTTGTATGCATACCAGCCCAGCCTCTGGCTTCTTTACTTTTCATTCCATCCAGGAAGAGCACACACCAACTGCAGAAACTTCCTTAGGCTGATGAAGGGTTTTTGAACCCAAAAGCTTGCTTAATATTGTTTTCCAACTATTTAAGTTGGTCTAATAAAGGATATCAGATTCACCCAAAGAACGTTGTCTGCCTGTGTCCTTAGACCAACACGGCTACAACCTACACCCCTGAAAGTTGCAGCAAGGGAAGTTTAGGTTAGATATGAGGAAAAACTTTCACTAGGAGGGTAGTAAAGCACTGAAATAAGCTATTTAGAAAGGTTGTGAAATCTCCATCCTCAGAGGTTAAGACTGCACAAAAAAATCCTCAGCTGGGATGATATAGTTAGGCTGGGATGATACAGTTATACTGCTTTGAGCAGTGGTTTGGATTAGATGACCTCCTTAGGTCCCTTTCAACTCTAATTTTTTATGGTTCTGTGATAAATAACAAATGTAAATGGATTGCTTCACTCATCTCTGAAGGGTAGCAATCCATTACACAGTTCACAAGAACCAGCCGTAACTAGATAGAACAAGAAATACTTGTGACACCACTTCTGTTATTTCTCTCAACCAAAAATACCTTTCTCTCCAACTGAATAAGTTATATTTAAACCCATGAAAATTAATAAGCATTTCTTTGTACCAGTGCAGCTTCATCAATGTTGGAAGCTATTAAGCAGGCCTTCAGCTTAGAAAACTTGCTGGAAAGAGATTCTGCACCCAATGCAAGCTGCAGCTTCCTCAATAGCTACCATGGGTGGAACTGAACCAATGCTGAACAGTACTTACAGTAGTGTAGGAGTGATGTTGTAGTCATGATGGTCCAGAAATTATGAGAGGCAAGAATTTCTTAGGGTGATGTATTTTATGGGACCAACTGTACTTGGAATAAAGTTAAACAAGCTTTTGAATGCAAGGCATTTTTCCTCAGGTCTCTGATCACAGGAAGCCAGGCACCACGTAGTGAAACACAGCAGAGGGGAGAGGTGAGAGAAATTCTCAGGGGTAGCAGACACATGACGGACAGACAAAAAGATGCTGATTACTGGAAATTCAAGACCTATCAAAAGGGAGGAGGGTCAATCTCATCTTCCTTGTATGGAAAGAATTCAGGAATTCGGTAAATTATAATGTGCCATAAACTCAATATCCATATTTTAGTCCTTGGTTCTTGGTTCTTAGTGTCCAGCCAGCTTATGAATTTTTGTTCCCAAGTTCACCTTTTAAAGTTGGTAGGTAGATTTGCCTTGAGCACAAGAATAGTGTGGTCTGAGAGAAAGTGGTTGTATTGTGAGAAATATGCTCCTTATGGTATATGCATGTCTCTGTCCTTTATATATTTTTCTGCAATGTTATGTTTCTTGCACAAAAACAAGAATTGTTCTTATTTGTTCATAAGAAGAATGCTCATGAATTTTACCCAAAATTAAGTATTTGGTTGCTTGCTGTCTGTTAAATCACTGACACTCTTT